CACTTTCTAAAAAGGAAAGTCATACACTTAAACAGCACATGTGAAGCCATATGGAAAAATCAGACAGCTAAAGCACAAGATCAGGATTTCCTGAACTTTCATCTCAAGACCCAAAAGGAAAAATTTGTTTTACTTACAAAAAGATCTCCAACTCTTCATCGTGTATTGCCATATGCAGTGTTCAACATAAATGGCCAACAGCCCAACAGATGTTATTCGAAAACCCAGCCTTGAGTTTCTTTTCGGAATCAATATTTTCTATGGCATACAAAGTATAAAATACTCCCACGTGTGTACAAATGGTTCCAAATAAGATTTGTCAACGTGAGCACACAAATGCTTTAAGATAAAGATCATGAGTTCATTCAAGAACGTGTTGCGAAAGTAAGTCCATGCCAAAGAAAGTCTCAGCGGCAAAGCCACAAAATTTTAGACTACAAAATGACAATAATTCATCCAAGGGTGAGTCTAATCATCATCAGGATTCTGGAATTTGGTCTTGTGTTGACTGAGAATCCAGCAAACGGTGTTGCGGATTCAGATAATGGGGTGAATCCAAGATTTACCCCCCCCCCTCCTTCCTTATTAACATTGCTCATTTCAACATTTCCCAAATTTCACAGTGAGTAAGTGATTTTTTTTGTTTGAAATCAGGCATATGCAAAAATTCTTTGCTTTGCCAGAATCCTTCAATTGTTTATCCTGCTCTTGTATTGGCTATACTGGCAGATGTGCCTATTTGAGTATGCAGAGTTTAGATATTTCAAATGCATTGGCGCACCAGGGAACCAGAGGCACAGAAAACCTCTTATTTTATTTCATGTGCGATGAGAAAAGTCTTAAAACCCTTCAACGTGTCTTTTGATATTATTCAGATGAGCTGGAGTTGCCGACAAGGTTGACAAGGTAAAACGGTGTGTGTTACGTGTTGTTTTGTTGGCCCGGGCAATTTTTTGAAAGATAATGTCATGCTGTTTTGTGCTTGTCGGCTTTTTGTTTTTGTTTTTTTTTTGTGTACAATGCACCAGAGGCATTGTGGAAGACCTTGTGAGTGCGTGTGCGCCTGTGTTTGTACTTTTATGTGTGTTTCAAGGACTTCCAACTTTCTGTCCGGCGTTGAAGTGTGGAAAAGCCTGCAGGCTTCTTGCAATCACTCATGATGCCCGTGCGCCACGTGCACGTTTGTTTCAGCGCTTTTCACTGCGTGGCTCTCACTCAGCGGCGTTGCTTCTCGTGCGCCTTGATTACAAACACGCAATAGCCACGATTTCCTCTGTGTGTCCGCAGATAACTGAATCAAGATGACGAGCGGGGGGGGATCTCGGAAAGTAAACATCATATTGTCACTGAATGCATTTCAACGTAAATGAGACTTTCCATGCTCTTCCATGTCTCCACGCTGAGGAGGAAACCATGACTCTGATTTCCCGTTTTCCGGGTGACTTGTTTGTATACGTCCCCCTCACTGCAGGGTGCGCAGGAGGACGGACATGAGTGGACGGGTGACAGAAACTTTGCAGAATATTTCATTATAACTCATGTACTTATGACTACATTTTTAAAGGATTCATTGTACAACCACTTAGATTTTCGATGTGCTTTCCGACACAATATGTGACCCAAACCGTGGTCTGTTTGAGGCTCTTCTTCTTGGCTCCTGTACAGTCGCAATAACAGTATCAGTAACCAAAACATCATTTCTTTTAATCCTGAATGTGGACTTGAGTGAACAACAATTTTTAAAAGCCATTTTAGCAAAGGCCAAAGATGTTTATACTAAGTCTGTATTATAAATCCTTTTGTAAATTATTTATGCTTGTTGCTTGTTTTGTTTTTGGGTATTTTTTGCAATTTTTTTTTCTAGAGTTTGTATATATTATTTATTTGTTTACACTGACAAAGCGCATCATTGAAAACCATAATTGTCCAAAAAGAGAATCACGTGTTTACATTTGCCCTCATTATTGTCAAAGTTCATGCAACTGAACCACTTTTGCGGCAGTTTACTTTGACAGTAACATTTCTTTTAAAGGAAGTGAAATGTGTATTTTTGAGGCTGGTTTTCATCTTCATTTTTTGGATCATAATTATGGTATGTGCTACACAATGAGACATTATCACATTAACGGCCAAGAGTCAGCGCTTTAACATACAGCCATTATGTGCAATGGTTTCATTAACTGAATGAATATTCATGTATGGTAACCAATTCTTAAAAGGGTTTTTTTGTTGAGGTAGAATTTATGTTCTTCCAGGATACATTTGCAGCATTGTCACTCCCTTGCACAAAATGTTAATGTCAATGTTTTTATTGTGTCAGATTGTTCTTTTTCATAAATAAATCATTTGTACACCACTGTGTTAGGAATGTTATTTCAATCATAACATTTTAATTTGTATGCAAAACACTTTCAAATGCATTTTAAAGTGATTTTTTTTTTTTATAAGGATTTCATTTTAGTTACATAACCCTAAGACGAAAACTCAAGGTAGTCAATCTTTTGCTTTGTTTGATATTGGCGTTACACACTCCAGGATTTATTCCACCTCTCAAAGTCGGCTGGGATAACCTCCAAGTCACCCGTGACTCTAAAGGCAAATGAATGGAGAGCTACAGTGACTTAAAATGTTTTATGACCATGTCAGTGACAGGTTCCATTTTTACCATGGCCTCCTGTCAGATGGCCTTAACTTTTGACACACAATTTGGATTAGAAATAATTGTGTGAATGTGCTTTAAAAGAATAAAATATTGCGCTGCTGACATATTATAACATCATAACTTCTATTGTACATTTGGGCACAAGACTGCGTACGCGCTGGACCCGTCGCCAGTCACCGACAAACAAACATTCATACAGCATTTCTGAGCAATTTAAACATAGCTCATTTAGAATGTGCGTGTGTGTGTGTGTGGGGGGGGGGGGACTACCTGAAGAAAAACCAACTTAAGCGAGGAGAGAACATGAAGACTACACAAGTAAGCTGGAACCAAGATTCAAACACTAAACATCAGAACTGTGAGATGGACATCCTAACCACAGCAGTAGTAAGCTGCCAGTAGTACATAATTTAATATTTTGTTGACCACCACGGTAAACCATTGGACGTTGACGTATTTTAAGAGATTATTGGTTTACAGTGACGTCTGACAAAATAACTGTCATTTGGATTAACCACAACTTGATGTCCCCTGACATTGCCATACTTTCAATAATGTGGGCTCTTGCAAATTTCGCGTCGATGTCATATTTGTGGATTTGAATTTTGGCTCCGGCCTTTCTGCGTGGAGTGTGCATGTTCTCCCTGTGCTTTTATAGGTTTTCTTTGGGTATATTACAGCTTCCGCTCATATTCAGAAGACATTCCTCTTAAGTTTATTGAAGATTCTCAATTGCCCAGAAGTGCGAATGCGGTGGTTTGGGACGAATGCAGTCAGGGCCAGCAACCCCCTTATATGGTGGCCTAAACACTATTCAAAGCACTGACTTACACTTACAACCGAAATCCTTATACAGTACTTGTTCCATGAAATTGTATTAATTTATTCCCAGCAGTCTGTTTGCTTTGCAACACTGTTTCCAGTAATGTCGATGTAGGATTTTTTGTTTGTTTTGTTTTGTTTTGTCCAATCAGATGTTAACCTCTTTGTGTTGCCTTGTCAATTCGATCTGTCCACAGCCTTGACAAACAGAATTGCTGGCCAATACTGTAGTAACATAAACAATATTAGCGCCGGTACTGGTCTTATTTATTTATTTATTTATTTATTTATCAACCAAACATATTTCAAATTTGTTCTCACAGGTGGCCCTCAATGATGTCAGCATTTTTCCATGCTCTGATTGGTTGGGCAAAGAAAAGCTTGTGACAGCCAAGTTCGATCAGCAAAAGACATCTGTAGCCATCGTCACACATGAATGCAAAATAATTAGCATCTCTGGCAGGTAGTTAATTTATGTTTGATGTTTTGTCATATAGATAACTAATGATCCTGAATTGCTCCAGATGATGTAGATGGCACACTTGTTATATTGCATCTTTGTACACTCTTGATGGTTTCTACGATTATGACTTGATAGTGGTGGTATTAAGAGGTAGTTTAAATGATTAAGTCCCTACTAAAGGTCCGGGTATCACACTGACGTTAGATGGAGGTTGATGTAATGATAACCCAGTAACTACTTGTTGGGATTCATTACTTCACTTGATGTGTCACACTTTAAATCCCGGAGAAAACTTTGACCAAATAAAACTTTGAAATCACATTTTTTGGTCACTATAAATGCATTGATGGATTTATTTTCTGCAGCTATGTTCAGTTCCATCAGTCCCTGGATAGCACAACGGAGGAATAAGTGGAGGAGATCAAGCCAGGAAAATAGCGTGTGTCCGGGGAAAATGGGGAAGTCAACACTCAAAGCAGCGTGGCATGCAGAGAATATTTGGATTGAGGCTTTTGGAAAAGTCCATGTGGCTCATGCGCACCAAACACTGCTTCGATGGCTTCTGGCACTGGACTACTGCTTTACCGCTTTGAGTGAGTTCCAGCTACATTGGTTTAGTGAGCTCTGCCAGAGGATGTCAATGTGTGACCCAGTAAACCGACGGTTTCTGCTGACACTAACCAAGACCTCAAAAAGATGAACATCCTCGAAAAACGCGTCTTCACTGTCATCAGGGTCCATAACCTAAACACAGACAGACAGATGACAGATCGTGTTAGTTATCACAGTGGAAATGGCGCTCAGCACCATCTTGTCATTTCTGACAGCAGCGAGACAAATACATAAAAGTGAAGGTGACGACTCAACGCTCTCATTTAAACCCAAGTTTGATGTTCCTCTCCACTGAGAGACGTGTGAAATACCAACCGGCAATTCGAAGTAGCTTCAAATAATATTCTACTGACAGACTTTCTCAAGTTAATGTCAATTTTCCCTTTTCCATTTTATTGATTTGTTTGTTTATTTTTGACTGTCTGCTTGAGGAACCACGTTGAACTATCACAAACCAAAAATGGTTTTCAGGAAACAAGGTAATATCAATATACTGTAACTAATTTGTCTTTTTTTCATGTATTTAATGACTTACATTCAAAACTATTACTACTAGTTAGCTTAGCCGAGCCAAGCTGTCACTCGCGTCAATTTTCCCTTTTCCATTTTATTGATTTGTTTATTTTTGACTGTCGGCTTGAGGAACCACACTGAACTACAGTATCACAAACCAAAAATGTTTTTCAGGAAACAAGGTAATATCAATATACTGTTAACTAATTTGTCTTTTTTTAAATGTATTTAATGACTTACATTCAAAACTATAACTACCGGTTAGCTTAGCCGAGCCAAGCTATCACTCACTCATTGTATTTGCTAGGTACTTGCATTTCCAACAGTTCTCCAGGCTTTTCCAAACCAGGGAGGACATGCATTGATGTAAATGTCTAATTATAATGTCCACCTACAGACCCGGCTGAAACCCCATCAAAAAAAAAAAAAAAAAAAAAAATCATCACTTTTTGGCTAACATTTGTCATTTGGATCAAAAGCAAATGTTGCAATGCTGAAAACATGTTTGTTTGTTTTTTTTTTTGACAGTTTCATGGAAATGGTTGAAACACCTCTTGAGTAATCCAGCTAACTGGCACAGTGACCAGCAAAAAATTGTGAAATTGTCTGGTGAATGTAAAAAATATATATATTTAAAGGCTTGATCAATGAATAACTATAACTTTGTGTGACAGTCATCCATATTCTCCTGTGCAGGAACATTATTGGATAGAAAGAGGCAGCGCTCATGCACCGAAAAAGCTGCGTTTTTCTGTTTCGCAGAATCCGAGTGAAAACGGAATTTACTGTTCCCACTGGCCGCTTTAACGAGTCGACCATCACCGCCGCCGAACAAAGTGACTCCTGCGCCTGCCAAAGCAAAGAAGTGGATCTGTCACTTGGAATCAAGTAAGTCATTTATTTCAGAGCATGAGTCCCTGTAGTCACTGGGAAAATATCCACTCCTGATGCCAGTCTTCGGGCGCCCGACAAACCAGAGTTGTCCAAATGTTGAGACCGCAAGCTGTGCTCCCGCAACGCACAAACCCAAGGAATAGAAAGTTAGCTTTTGAAGACATGACAAATACTGTAAAGTGGTTGAGTGTTGAGTGGACGTAGAAAATTATGAAGGGCGAGTTTCCCAACATGTACCAGTAATCACATTTTTGAACCTTTGCTCATATTCACAATGTCAAAAAAGAAAGAATGTACTGTGCAAATGTCTTTGTCCACTATGCCGTTTTTTGTTCAAGCAGGATGATAATGGCCAGAAGCTACAGCGTTGGCCTTCTGAAGTTGAACCACGAATTTTATGCTACGATCTCTGTATGGCGTAATAAGAACCTGTCAAAGAATAAACTTTACCATTTGCATCGACCATTCAAGAATATACTGTATATTATCTCAGTATCTCAGTAGGAATTGTGACAAACAAAGGTTAACTTTACATTTTGCAGATCATTTTGACCCAATAGGCTTTGCTTTCATTTTATGATTGATGAATCTGACATGATGCAGACACATTTTTGAGTAGCACACATAGATGCTTTATAAAAGAAAATTGAAAATTCCATTCTTACCAATGAAATGTGTATGTCAGGTAATGTAAGTCAGTGTCCAACTCCAGCGAGCCCACAGTGGTGCCCACATTGTTTTTTTTTCTGATGGGACAGGGCTGCGGTGCCAAGTTCCCTGCAGGAGACACTCAATGCAAACATCAGGGTCTCATTATGGCTTGACTGAACATATACATGATGTCAAATGACGTTTCGGCGCCATGCTGTGTTGTCATTATTTCTGACTTGTACATTTTTCCAAGATGTCCATTCAGAAAATGTGAACACATTCTGCCGCTTGATGACGTTCATATTAGCAACCATCAAATATGACATAATCAGATTTAGCGCTTGATTTACTGACGCTCGCCTGAATGAGTGCACATTTTCCATGTTCGGGATCCATTTGATTAATGCGGGTCATTCCCTCTAATTTTGAATGTGCTGCAAATAATTTGCATCAAATGTCTTGGCCATTTGGGGTTTTCCATCCAGGAACACACAAATGCTGAAACTAGAAAGTACATTACGAACCCCTGCACAATCTAATTGGATACAAGACAAGAAATGTACCAAAAATTCTGAATTTGAAAAAAAAAAGGAAATAATATATACAGAGCTGTGAAAGTTAAACCCCACCAAACTCAAACTGTTAAAAATGTCCATCCATCCATCCATGCATGCATCCATCAATCCATCCACACTATTCACAAAAAAAATTAAATGGGAAATTCGGCTCCTGGGGGAAATTTTAGGATGAAGCTTAAATGCCCCATAACCTTTATAGGTAAGCATAAATTTAACTTGTCTCACGTTTTGAATACATGTCCATGCCCATCCCATCTTTCATTTCTGTTGCTGTTGTCTAACAAGGAGCTGAATGGCAAAAATCACAACAGGCAGATTACAGTGACACGAAACTAGGAATTAATGTCATCATTTTGGAATGAACCTTTTATTTTCATGATTAATCTGAAGGGGTTAGACCAAAGTTGGATAAAAGTAGATAATGTCTATTAATGCATACTTGTGCAGTGATGTCACTTTGTTTCAATCCTCACAGGGTTCTTTGTACATCAGCCTCATCCAACTCCATCCTGTGATGCAGAGCCAAACTGATACATCTTCCTGTCTCTAAAATGTTGGCTGTGGGCAATTGCATCAGGATTATTGGGAAGAATGTCTGCCGCAGGCATTTTTATAGGGGTTATACATTCCTTTCAGCAAATGAATAAAAGAGAACTTGTCTGAGAAGAAAAGGTTTTCTCTGGAAAGGGTGACAAATGACACACTTAATCGTAACCCAATCATCTTTTTTGCAATCTTCTCATCTGATGCTTCACGAAATTAACCTTCAGATCACCTAAACTACATTAAAAAAATGTTGACATCAGCACACGGTACGGGTTACCTCAGAGTCAGTCAAACATTTCGCTTAATTCCGCTGAAAATTAAACCAGCGAACAGGGTGAAAGAGTATGTCTCTGCATATTGTAAGGAATCAATTTAATATTAGAGGAAATGGGTATTTTTTTGACAGTGTGTGTGTGTGTGTGTGTGTGTGTGTGTGTGTGTGTGTGTGTGTGTGTGTGTGTGTGTGTGTGTGTGTGTACTATTGACCCAGCATATCCCAAGCAAAACAATCAAGTCGTCTCTTGCGCACATGTCAAAGCGGTCTGTCTATGTACTCCACAGTCTCAGCATGTGCTTTTTCGTTGCTGGCAAGGAAGCTTTTTCACATCACTTTTAAAATGTATAATAGATAGCAGCGCCGGAATGTCATATAATAAAAATCAAGTGTGTGCGGCACTCAAACTGGTCACATTTCTCTCGATGCTCTGCAGCATCAAAGAAGGGCAAGTGCACATTATCGTACAGTACAACACGTAATAAAACTGACTTGAGTGGTGACTACTGGAATCAATTTGCGCCACTACACAGCTTAAAACATTCCCAGAAATCGTCTTTTTTTTTTTTTTTTTTTTGTCACGCATGCTGTTCAGGACACATAGACAGCTGTTTCCTTTCTTATTTGAACTGATGTTCAGGAATCAATCACACTGAATGAATGAAAGAATCAAATTGTGTGGAAGACTACACGATCAATGACCTTCCACCAGCATTTTCCACATGATTGAAATGCATTTCCCTCCATCTTTTGTCTACAGCACTTAACCTCATTAAGGTTGTGGGTGAGCTGCAACCTATTCCAGCTAACTCTGGGCAACAGGTGGTGTACACTCTGAACTGTGGTGTGAACTGTGTGGAGTTTGTATGTTCTTCAAAGGCATGCGTGGGTTTTCTCCGGGTATGTTAGGTCAAGTGAAGACTCTACAATTGCCACCAGTCTGAAATGTGAATGGTTGTTTGCGACTGACTGGCAACCAGTCCAGGGTTTACCCTGCCTCTCACGTCAGCTGGGATAGTCTCCAGCTCTAATGAGAACAAGCACGAGTACGATATAAAATGGAATTTTTAGTACTGGGTTATGGTGATTTTATGACAATGTATTTGAATGTATTCATTTTTTTTAATGACAAGATTGGGATTCTCCACTGATGCACAAACTCAAGTCACCAATTGGCTGTTGTCTGAAGGTAAGGCATCAGGCTGAGGCCGGCCAGGTTTTAAGCCACACGATAGGTTGCTGACGGAATAGGTTGCACTTGCAGCACGATGGTTATGTTGACATGGCTACTATGTTTTATTGGTTAGGGTCTCGAGCATACAAATACTAATGGACTTATCGTCAGGACCTCTGACTTGTGAGTATTGTTTCATACCAGCCACCAAAAACCATTGATAAAAGAGGCATTCAGATCTGCCAAAGTGTCCATAAACCTTTCTCGCACCATCTACTAAGAAGAAGAAACCTTTTGTCTTGGATTAGTGCATCTTGTTCTGATGCCTTCCTTATATGGCCCGTCATTGTACATCTACTAGCGTGAGAGTATTTATTGTGAAATGACGAATATTTGGAGCATTTGTTAGCACTTCCCAAAGGTGACTCACCCCAAAACAGATGGAAAACAGCTCAGGGTGATCCAACTACAGTATACCCTGCACACTGGACATTGCGCCGCTTGGATGCAAACACAACAGCATAAACAACTCATCTAGATGAACTCGCTCTACTCTTTTGCAATGGCTGACTTCGAAGTTGATCCACTTCAAATAGAATTTTGCCCATTAATATACTGTATACTGTAATGAAAGGAAATTCATTTGCTCAAGGTTCATCCAGTTTCAGGATGTTTTCAGAACAATACTGCCCTCTGCTGGTGTGGTATAGGTACTACTGGAAGTGTTGCAGACGGTAGTTTCGGAGAACTTTGTGAGCTTGGTGAACATCGATATGTGCATAAAATGGTGCACATATCATTTATTGGTCAGGGAGTTCTCTCTAATGGTGTGTGAAAGAATTATTGAATTATATACAAATACAATTTAAAACATGCAGTTCAATCAATTATTAGCATTAACTTGCACACATCCTGTTTGAACTCTATCAGTCCGGTTTTATTCATCACATACAGTGGCTTTATAACTTTTGTGTAGAACACATTGTTTACAGTACAGTTCTGTTGTGTAAATTCAATGTTAAGTTTCAAACTATGCATAAAATTATCGTGGCTCAGTTACGACTTTTTAGGAATAAATCCTCTGCTTAATTTTGTATGAACACCTGGCCCTACTGTATTTCTGTGTTTTATTGTTGGTCATTTTGGTGGTACTTGGAGAGCAGTATTTTTGTGGTGAGTATTTTTAGGAGTTACTTGAACTTGTCAACCACTGATGTGGAAATAGAATTTTCACACAGTAAATTCAGAATTTTGACTCTTCTTGTACGTTTACACGCCACCACTAGAGGTCACTGTCCTCCCAACAAATTCAGTTTGTAATGCAGCGCAGCAAATTAACGGATTTGGTAGTTCATGTACGTATTTTAATTTAAACCAGAATAAAGGAATACAGTACTATATTTTGGGTGTCGCAAACCATTGTCATTTCAGGTTTTGCACTGGAGCGCCGCAGTGTGCACTACGTTAGACAAAGTTCCTTTCTTGTTAAAAAGCAGCTACCAATGAAGAAAAGTAATGAAGTTTTCTCCTATTTTTCTTTTTTATAACTAGATGAATTCATATTGCATTTGCTGTCATGTTTTTACGGAGCTCCTATGGTGACACGGAAGCCAAACGAATGGTGTAAAACTGCGTTTACTCAAAATGTTGACGAAATAATCCCTTTTTTAAATGAGGGTTTATGTCCTGTGCGAATTGTTGAGAAACGACAAACAGTACGATAATACGTTAGTATTTTCTCTCTTTTTATTTTAAGCCATACTCAAAGTAAAAGTCTATTACAGGTAACCTCTTCCACGACATCTGGGATATAAGCTCGGCTCCAGCTGTGGTTTTTTTTTTTTTTTTTTACTCGACAAACACACACACAGCGGTGTGACTGAAACCATTGCTTTGCCATACCAACGTCTGCAGTGGACTGACAGCGGTTGTGACCGTGTCCGCGAACCTTGAGCTGGATTGCACAGACGATCCTTGGAGGCGGTCGCTTGTACCGTCGAGGACACGCCACCCACCCACTCTGCCGTGTCGTTTCCGAGCTTTCCGTGATCCAGGCGTGTCCGTGAAATCATGAAATGGGTGCGGTCGGAAGAGCACTGTGAGGCTGTCACTGACGAACTGTTAAAGTCACACTTACACGTTAAACGGACTTGAAACAAGAGAGGAAGAACAAGATATTCAAGCGCAATGCATCTATAATACACAGTTGTCCCCCCCCCCCCACCCTTATTTTAGCTTGGAGAAGTTGGGAGTCAGCCTTCCTGGATGACGGAGCAAGGTACAAGTTTACTTTTCTGGCTGACGTGGGTAAGTAAGAACTTTTTTTCTGTAAATACTACCGTGATATGTTTTTTTTTTTTTTCAACTTGAATGGGTGGTATCGTGTTGCTACATTGCGTGTCTGTTGATCTAGTCTCTCACAGCTTTGTAAGCCTGAATATAAAGTTATTGCACTCGGACATTTATGCAATCTAACATGAGGGTCTTGACTACTGTCCGAAATAAATCTAACAGCTGCCTTATGCTGCCTCCAAATGAAAGGATCCATTGAGCTGACACATTTCAATGAAAGAAATGCGTTGTGCGGGTTCTGGTTGGGTGCTGGATGTCGTCCCAGCTCAGGGCAACACAATTTGTTCGCTGTACTTCACACAACTACAGATGATACAGTTCAAATATTCCAGAGCAATGAGCCTGGTCCAGCTACTGAAAAGCCACTTCTTGAGCCACCTGTTCATCTGCTACGTGTTCCTGGTCAGCGGTCTCATCATCAATCTGCTGCAGCTATGCACTCTACCTTTGTGGCTACTCAACAAGCAGCTGGCCCGAAAGGTCAACTGCAGATTTGCCTACACCGTCTCCAGCCGTAAGTACTGACTGGTGAAGAGTTAAAAAGCATCTTGGCCTCATCATGCAGTCTTTCAAATGTACTGTCAATACTGTACTCTCTTAGAGCTGGTAGCAGCATTGGAGTGGTGGTCTGGAACGGAATGCAGCCTCTATACAGACCCAAAGTCTTACCCTTTGTACGGAAAGGAAAACGCAATTGTGGTTCTCAACCACAGTTTTGAGATAGACTTCCTGTGTGGTTGGACCTTCTGTGAAAGATTTGGAGTTCTTGGGGTAAATCTGCTGATATTTTTTCTTCAGTAATCCAGGGGGCTTCCCCACACCATACCCTAATACTGTAAACACACTCTAAGGTCGGGTCCTAAACGTCAGGTTGAGACCTAAATTGAGTCACACATTTAATTTTTGATTCAAGCAGCGGTCATCATCCTTTTTGAAAGTGACAGCTTCTTACTGATTGTGAAGTGCAACTATACTTCTGAAATTACAAATTTGCTCAAATGACCTTTAATCATGATATTATCAGTAATGATAGTCATCTTTCGGACGACAAAGACATCATAATTTCTCAGTATTTACCAGCTGCAACTTAAGTTAGGAAACAAATAAATATTATTATGCAACCCTCATTCTTAGGAAATCAAAATATCCCATCACTGGTGGAATATGTTTAGAACAAACCTGCGGGCTATTGATGTGGTCCCTTGCGGGACTATGTTGGTTACCCCTGGGTTTGAGTAAAATTCTATAAATGAATTTATTGATCATTCGGCTCTCACTTTCTTGGCAAATGGCTTTTCGATTCCTGTTTAGTGTGTGCTTGTCCCCTATATTCGTTATCATCATTTTATGTGCAGTATGTATTAATGTTCATGCAAAATATGAAATATTTCCGTGAGTTTAGGCCCTGGGCTGATAAGGTTGAAGAAACATTGCTCTAAATGTATGTTGTTTCAGGATATCAGGAACTATGCCCCAATTTTCTTTTCTCCAAATTGCAGGCAAAATAAATGTTGAAAACACTCTGTATTATGTTCAACAAAATGTTCATACACTTAAATTGCTTAAAGACTAAGGTCAAAAATCCAGTGCTGCTTTTCATCTTA